TCACATTATCTTTCAGCTACAGAACTTACCAGAGTTAAATATGTGACCAAAAAAGCTACAAGGAAAAATGTGGAGAAATGCTAAGAATTAGCTAGTACCTCTTAGGTTTTTTTTTATTTCTTCCCCTTACTTAGTTGTGTTAATATTTAGTGAAAAGTAATTTTGTTCTTTTTTCTATAACTAATGTTATGGTGGGAACTATGATTATCTTGTTCACTTTTTCTGAAAAATGATAATTATTTTTTTTAAAAATTTAATTTCTTGGATTTATACTTGAGGTTGAATTCAATCTGATAATGTGAAATTCCTGGTGAAGCAAAATTTGTTAGACCATATGATGAACAGTACATGATTCAGACAACTGCCTTACAATTCACTCATCTATTTGGAACAAATATTGAATGCCTGTGTAAACCTATTTCTCTGTTAGGCATTACAGTTATCAGCATGTTGTTCAAATACAAGTTTGTTTTAGCAGCTGTTCAGTTGGAAAACTAGCGTTTTTTGGGGGGGAAAGAAAAAAGGAGAGAGATTGTTTATAAGAGAGGAGAAGAGTCTGTCTGTCCACGTAGTCAGCAAAATGAAAAGCACTTACTAGTGATAGAACTATAAACATCATTGTAAGAGTTGTACCTAGCAGGTTAAAAATGCATAAAATATGCAACTCTTAGTTAAAGGCCTTATTAGTAGTCTTAACTATATAAGCAGTGTATTTTATCATTGTTTTAGTTATAACCATTTGTAAATAATTTTAAAAACTTGGGGCTGTAAATTGAATGGAGTAAAGTCTATACTATAAGTGTACAATCATTAACAAATATCTAATATCTCAGGGCTTAATAACTCTTTCAATTTGTTAAAAAAGTAAAAGATAAAAAGGTTCGGGTACATAACTGTTCACCAAATGCGAAGTCAATCTGGTATTTAACCTTGAAAACAAAGTCAGTCTTGCATATTACCATTAATAATATAATACAGACTGGAATCATTACTCATTCAATTTTTTTGAGGCTGGGTCTCACTATGTAGCCCTGACTGGCCTCCAAGCCAGGGCAATCTAGCTGCCTCAGCCCCCACGTCATTTAGTTTTTGAAGAAAAGAAAAGAGTAGTGTTAGTCTTAAGAATATTAAGGCAGTATTCTTTTTTTTTTTAATTTTTTTTATTTTTTTTATTTATTTGAGAGAGAGAGAGAGAGAGAGAGAGAGAGTGGTGTGTGGCCAGCTCAGCCCACCAGGGGGCGGGGCTGGCTGGCATGTGGTGCTGGGGGATTGAACCGCGGTCCCTGATGCTTTGCCAAGCTTGTTCTAAGTAGGTGCCTTAGACCACTAAGCCATCTCTCCAGCCCCAAGGCAGTATTCTTGTAGGAGTACTGTGCGTGTGCTTGTGAGTAACAATAATTGTTCAACTTTTAAGAAAAATATTAAGAAAATAAAATGATAGAATTTAATACAATGATCTGTGTTTGGATACATTAAAAAATTTCAGCCATTAACTTTATGTGACCTTATGCTGCTGGCTTTTGTAACCTGGAGATTATAATAGTGACCAAAATATCCGTGCAGTTAAGACTTGTTTTTGATTATTGTTGTTGAAGCCTGTTTCAAAAACTCAAATTATACCTCATGAGCTTGCTCTCTGCTCAGTTTCTAGTTACAATATAATAAATATTATCTTTCTGTGCTGAAAAAAAAAATTGAGGATGATTTCAACATGTCTACAACCTCTCTGACAGATCAACTTTGTTTTCCAGCCAATGACACTGAGAATCACTGAAGTGCTTAACTTCATTCAATCGGGGAAAGAAATTCTTTTCTAAAGTTTAAAATTGTAACAGCACATGTTTGTAGTACATAATGATTATATTCATCTTGAGGACCTGATATAAGTACATAAGATAGCTTAATTTTTTTTACTTCTGTTTCCCTTCCTGTCCCTCTTGTTCCCTCCAACTTTTAGAGAAAGAAATTCTAAACCAGTAAAAATTGAAATGTAGAAATGACAATGAGAGGAAGTTATGATAGCTCTGGCCTCCACCCCCAGCTACAGACATAATACTCTGAAAGGACTTTCTTTCCAGAATTTCCCCTTGCTCCTATTGAGGGATTCCTCTCTGGACACACCCATAAGAAATACTAATTATGAGACTGGAACATAGGTTCCCAAGAGCTGTCCCTTCTTATGAATAACAAGGCAAGTTTATTCCCTTGTTTCCTCTCTAGTGAGAAGATTCACCAACATCTCCCCCTTGTCTCCAGCTGCCATGGCCCAAAGGATCCCGCAGGAGCCTCGTGCTGTCGCTGTCAGCTATTGCTGAGTGACTTCTGCCACAAGGCTCAGTCAAACCTTTGCACACCCAATGTCAGACAGCACTGCCTCTGCCTCTGAGTTCTTTCCCAACATTCTGTTCATTCCTCTGCTGACAAGCAAGATGATACCACCCTGTCTTCCTTCTGAGATCCCTGGATCTAATCTCAGGTACTCATTTCAGAAATCAATGCAGTTATGCTGTCAGGTCATTTGTTAGTCTCCCGACTGCCACCTCAACCCCAGAATCCAGAGCAGGAGCAGCAGTACCTGAAAACTCAAGGTTAAAGAATACTCAGACCAGAGATTAGACATGAAGGTAAGTTTTTCATTGTGTTCCCTTAGGAAAACTAGGTTTCGCAGCTGAGGGGCATATTCTCCTATACCAAGGAGGTTTGGGGAAACAGCATACAATTTGTCTTTTAACAGATTTGTTTTCTGTGTACATGAGGAGAATGATGGTCAGTGTGGGCATGCACATAGGTTGCAGCTACATATTTGGAAATATGTTCACACATGTAATAAGGATGTTATCTGGGAAACTGTATTTTGTGTAATTTCATGCTGTGGCATATTTGAGGGAAAATAGCTTAGGACTTGTCTGATTACACGTCTATGCAATCATGATAATAAAGAACCTTAATTCTTTTTTAAAAAATTTTAAACATTTATTTGTGTGTGTATGTGTGTGTGTGTGGCCAGCTCAGCCCACCAGGGGGTGGAGCTGGCTGGCAAGTGGTGCTTGAACCCCAGTGGATTGAACCCCAGTTCCTGTGCTTTGCTAAGCTTGTTCTAAGTAGGTGCTTTAGACCACTGAGCCATCTCACCAGCCCCTAAGTGTGTTTTTTAAAGAATATAACTGTCAGCTGTTTAAAACTTTTAATTTTTTTACTTGCAAAAAATATGAAGTATGGAAACTATATACTCAACTGCCATCTGATGACAAATGACAAAAAACATTGTACCTTTTTAAGAAAAATTATCTATATAAATAATATGTCAGGAAACTTGTAGTAGAAATATCTTATAGAACTTTTATTGACCATGATGGTTTCTATATTACAAGATAGTCGACTCAAAGTCAAATTTAAATTTCTTTTGTTCCTTGTCTTCCCTCTGCATTTGTTTGAGAACTTTGACATTAGCTCAGGAGATAGGACAGAAACCTTAGAAGTCACCTAATACAAAGTCCTCAATTTATGTACAACAAAATTGAAACAGGGAACATGAAGTGACTTGCCCATATCAAATATTAGGATAAAGATACCTGTGCTAGCTGGGACCAAGGTCTTCTGACCTCTGGACTTCCGACAAGTGTTCTTCCCTCCACCACTGACACTTTTTTTAATGACTAGCATTCATGGGGGCTGGGAAGATAGCTCAGTGGAACAAGTGCTTGCCTGGCAAGCGCAAGGTCCTGAGTTCGATCCCTGGTACCAACTACAATAAAATAAAGACTAGCATTCATGTGCTGAATTGTGGTGATCACGATCATCATGTTTACAAGGAGAAAGAACAAGGACATTGTAAGCAGCCTCCATTCATGACCCTAGTCGGCAATATAATGGGCTATGTTAAAAAGAAAACTGAAGCAAAATGAAAAATTTAAAGTGTTTATTTGAACAAATAGCAACCCGTGAGTTGGACAGCTCCAATCCAGAAGTGGTTCAAGAGAGACTCTTACAAGACAAGTGATACAGGGAGAAAAACTGGTCTCGGGTGGGTGACCTCCAAACCATGCAAGGAACCTCCAAATGACATAGAGAAAAACAATCTCCCGACCTAACCTGTATGAGTTCGTGTTCTCTAAAACCGAAGAATGAATTTTAGGAACAAACGGAGGTTATGAGCAGAATATATTTATTGAGAGAAAGAAAGCTCCTGTCC